AATCCCTCTGGCCTCCTCACCTCTGGTTAGTCCGCCAGCCCAGAGCTGTTCTCTGCCCAAACCTCCTCTTCCCCTCCTCTTCCACCTTGGCGGAGTCCTCATTTTGCCTACCTCATGTCTGTGTCCCCTTAATACCTCCCAGCTGCCCTGCATGGGGGCTCAGCCGGAACTGTCATCCTCATTTAACAAATGAAGGAATTGAGGCCCAGAAGGACCAAAATACCAGCCCTTAATTCTCCATTACCCCCAAATCCCCCAGATTCCATTTCTGCAGCAAGAAGCCTTGAGTTTAAGCTTTGAGTTGGGGGACCTACAGGAGTCGGGTGCCCCAGGAAAGGCAGAGGCCCCAATATCAACTTTTTTTTTTAAGTTTTTTAGAATGGCTTCTTTTTGCTTAACATTTTGTTTGTTGTTGCAGTAAAGCAACAACTTTATTGAATGTACCTTATTGAATGTAGCAGGGATTTCACCCCTGACCCATAGTTTTTTTTTTTTTTTTTTTAACTGGGGTGAAAAAACACATAGTATAAAATACACGTAGCAACTTCTTTTATGTACGTGTGTATCTATGTATTAGGGAGTGTGAGGAAAGAGAGGGAGAAGGAGAAGCAGGCTCCGGAGCAGAGAGCCTAACAATGTGGGGCTGGATCCCAGGACCCTGGGATCATGACCTCAGCCAAAGGCAGCTGCTCAACTGAATGAGCCATCCAGGCACTCCCACATACCACTTCTAAGTGTAAAGTACAGTGCTGTTAACCATATGCACACTGCTGAGCACCAGAATCCCCTATCCTGCCTCTACACCAGCAACTGAACTCAAGGGGTTTGCTGCTTGGGGTGTATCAAATTGAACACCACCCAAGGAAGTGTTGGAAGCAAAGAGTTTTTATTACTTGTCCTAAGTAAGGAGACAGGGAGATAGCTCTCGAAGCACTGCCTCCTTTTAGGGTTAATACAGGGTGTTTATTCAGTACGCTTCAGAACAGGGGCATGGAGCCCGACCCATTAAGGAACTCACCCGTATTTTGTTACTTAAGCACTTCAGATCAATTGCGCATGCTCAGCTCAGCATGTCAAGGCGCTGTGCATACACGGTGTTGTTAAAAAATGGCTGAATCCGGCCCCCCGCCTCCCGCCCAGGAGATCTTAGAATTATAATGAGCTAAAGGTAACTTCAGGGCAATTTAGGGGGCTTCTCTTGAAGGCCTCAGCAACAGTCCAGCTCAAACTGGCTCATGCCGCTAGTTATCCAGTGGAACACCTGGCCCTAATCTCCTTGGTGGGAGCTGCTTGTTCTCCAAAACAGACACATTCTTTCCCTGCTGTCGTCCCTTCCCCCTCCTCCTTTCTGTTGAGAGCTTGAAGCCCTCTGACCCGAGTTAACTCCTCTTTCCATCCTAGCTCACGCACCTGCTGAACAGCTCCCACCTCCTCTGCCCCTAGCCCATGGCACCCGCCACCCTACTTCCTGTTTCTACCAGTCCAACTACTTAGATACCTCATATAAGACCGATGGTGTAGGATGTGTCTTTTTTGTGATTGCTTACTTCACTTACTTAGCAACATGTGTTCGGTGTTCATATGTCAGAATTTGCTTTCATTTCAAGACCAGGTAACACTCCATTGCATGGATCTGACACCGTTTCCTTATCCATTCATCCACTGATGGACATGTGGGTTGCTTCCACCTCTTGGCTATTAGTACTGCAGCCAACAGAAGCGTTTTAGTCACTCACCTGCATCAGTAATAAATGGCCAGTGGGCCTCAAACAGCTCTAGGGAGAAGGGTTCCTTCCAGGATGGAGTTCTGTTTAGCCTTAGGTTGGGATGTGAGATGAAATGGGGGCAGGTCCATCTTGGGTTCTGTGTGTCCTGGCTACTGGTTGCAGCCCCCTTTCCATGGCTCTTGAACTTCAGGGGTGAGCATTTTGGAGTTGTGGAGACAGTCTGGGATCTGCTCCAGTCTTATACACCATGGAAAATCACTTGCCAGTGCCACTCCTCTGTCCAGGCCATGATAAAGTGGAGAACATGAGGCTCCTGCTATGATTGCCAGGGAAAATCCAGGATGCAATATTTGGTACATAGTTGTACTAAAGAATTATTCAGTATTTATTTGAAATTCTAATTTCACTGTGGCTCCAGTACTGTTATTTGCTATATCTGGCAACCTCACCTCCGAACCCACTGAGGATTTCCCTCACAAGCCAGGACCAGGACCTTTGCCTCCCGACCCAGGCTTCCCAAGAATAGATGATGTGGATGCTTCTGAACTCCAGGCTTGGCTTGGAGCACAGGGTGTCAAGCCCAATCCTGGTTCACTAAGCTTGCCCCTAAGTCACCTGCTTGACTGAGCCCCCATCCTTGCCTCGCTCTCTTTGACTCTAGGCAGTGAGTCTGCCTGAAGCCCAGAAAGCTGCACTAAAATCCCTATTTCAGGATTTCTTCTATCAGGCAGCCCCCAAATGGTGATCATAAAACCCCATGTCCTGCCTGTGCTTCTCATCAGGGGAATGAAGAGTGGGTGGCTGAGGCAGACGCAGAGGGGTGCAGTGAGAGGGACCAAAGCCATCTCTGGGACTGTGGAGCACTCCCTTTCCAACCCGCCATTGATTGCCTCCCTTGCTTTAGGAGTCATGAGATAGCAGGGCCTGGAAATCCTCGGTCCACCCACCCTACCCAGTGTGGGAACCCCATAGGCTAAACCAATGCTTTAGCTTTTCAGGAGCCCTCTGGTCACTTATCCTGAAGGCTGATAAAGAAGATCCTTCTCCGTGCTGGTTCATGAAGGGCCATGGATGGGAGCATGGGTGTCTTGGGGAGGAGGTCTGGACTCCGGAGACTAGGGACTGCATGGTTGGGCCTGTTCCTGGAGTCCTTGAGACTCGTTGCTGGAGGCATCTGTGCTTGGGCCCAACGGGCAGCAGATGGCGCCCCATACCCTACTCTTGCAGAAATTTGGTGAGAGCAAGGGAGGTTCTCACAGGATGGTCTTAGTGAGTAATGGACACTGCTCTGGGATCACATGATTAAGGTGTGTCTCCCACACTGGCCTGGTCTCTTCCTACAGGCATATGGTCATCCTAACGTCCTCAGGGCCCAGTAGCAGGTGTTCAGCGAGTGTGGAATCGGTGCAGGCAAGATAGAAGGGTGGATGAATGCCACACCCCTCCTGGGAGATACTGGGAGAGAACTGGCCCTCCACGAGGGAGCTGGGAACAGCTCAGTCCACACTCGTCCTGTCCTGTTCTCGGGGACAGAGACAGCAGAGGCAGCTGCAGGGGCAAAGGCCTAGGAGCCCCAGCCAGCTGTGAGACCCCTGCCGTGAAGCAGTCATGTGGACTTGAGTGGGTGCAGAAAGGGATCCCAGAGGGATTTGGCTGGGAACTAGGGCCAGGTCTACTCCTCTGCCTTCCCCTGTGGAAGGGGGCCAAGGATTCCCAATGGCTGCCTGTCTGTCCCTCACTCCCCACAAGCCTGGGTCAATCCAAAGCAATCCAGGAGGCAGCCAATGGCCTCTAGGCCTATAATGCCCAAAAAAGAGTAGGTACTAGCCACATGGCCGTTGAGCTCGAAAGGTGGCTTGTCTACCAAACTGAGGCATGCTGTAAACGCAGAAGAATGTAAAATATCTCATCAGCAATTGTTTTATATGATCTACATGTTTAAGTGCTTATATTTGGATGATAGGTTAAATAAAAATTATTATAATTCCATCTTACGTGTTTGTTTTCACTTTTAAAAATGTGCGGCTACCGGAATTACATGTGTGCTTGCACTTGAAGTCTACCAAACACTGCTGCTTTAGACCCACAGGTGTCTTGGCCTCTCTGGCCCGTGTAGTAGCTGGGTCAAATTTCAGGTGTGGGTCTGGCAGTCTGGCAGCAGGGCCCCTGCGTCACTCTTCTGGACCAAGGTGGCCAAGTGGGCGTGGCATGGTGCCAGTGGAGGGAGAACTGAGAGGATGGGGTGCTGGGGTTTGAGCCCAGGGCAGCTGGCCCCTGTGACAGCTGGGCTGGCTGATCAGAAGCCCCAGGTTCACTTCCCATGCCTTCTGTGCGGTGGCCACAGACCTTGGATCTGGAGGTAGCCTTGGGGGCTACTGCCTATTGCACCAGTGACACAATGGGGCAATTCTTGCTGGCAGGAAACTGAGTTGGTGGCTCCAGAAGCTAGGTTCCTTGAGTCTCAATTCCACCCCTTCCTGCCCGCCTAGGGCTCTCAGAGGAGATTCAAGATCCCTTCCTACTCTGCATAGTTTGATGCATCTTTGCACATGCCCGAGCCTTTTCAGGAATGCTGTTGGCCCTTCCTTCTACCCCGCTGCCCTTGACCGAGCAACCATTTATTCTTCAGGTCTCCCCTGGAAGTTCTAGGATGGCAGGCTCCTGGTGATGTTTGGTATCCAACCCAGCATGCCGGCAGAATGACAAGATTCATTGGTGAATGAGTGATTGGTATCCCTTCTTCAGGGAAACCTGTCCTGAACTCCTCCCATCCCCCAATCGGCCCAGGCCTCTGTAACTCCCTGTCCACTCATCTGTGTCCCTGCTGGACAGTGAGCTGCCCTGGAGCAGGGATTGTGGCTACGCTCCTAATACCTTCTAGAGCCCGGCACTGAGCAGGTGCTCAGGCAATCAGGAATGAGAAACAAACCTGGGCCGACACCTTCCCTGATGGAGGGACAGGTGCCCGAGGTGCTCTGCAAACCTTCCCAGTGTCCTGCGTAGGTGGCCCACAGCAGGGTGGGACAGGTGCGGGAATCCTGCCAGTGATGTGGAATTCTGCCTCCCATCACAGCTGTGGCTCTGGGAACCTCCCTCACCCGAATCCCGGTGGATGCCGACAGTGAGGAGCAAACACTGCCCTTGAGCACAGCCCCAGATGCGGTCAGAGCATCACTACAGGACTCCTGAGCACTTGCTGGGTCACCAAGCCTCAGCTGGCTGTGGGGTGTGCACCCCTCGCCCCCTCGGTGCAACAGAGCCTCACACCAGCCGGCACAGAAAACATTGCTTTATTAACTGCGTTTGCCAACACACGAGGAGTGCAAAGGGCTCCTTGAGACACTGGCCCTGGTGGGAGCCCGGGTCCAGAAAGCCCCATGAGTGAGCAGGACAGGATGGGAGTGGGAGCTATGCAGCAGCGGCAACACGGAATCATGCAGGGCACGCGGGCACTGGCCGCGGCGAGGCGGCCATACATTCTATTGCTCGTTAAGGGGAGCGAACATGGACAATGTACAAAAAGGAGAAATAGGTCTTTGCGTTAATGAAAAATACATTTTTTCTCTACAAAGGAATCTTTTCTAATACAAGAAAATAAATATTGCAACATAAGCCAAAAATAATTTAAAATTGCTCTTTTCAATATATTTTCAATATTTCTCTTGTATATTAACAAATGGCACATCACTTTCTTTGAAACAAGGACAGAAGGTGTCGCCTCCTGTGACATTCATATCATCCCCCCACCCCGAGTCGTTTGCGGAGCACAAGAGTGTTTTATGTGTCTGAGGGACAAGGTGGCAGGAAGTGCCTTAAAGAACAACCAAAAGTCCCAGACTCCAGCCCTGGCTCTTTGGCCAATGTGGCCAGCTGGGCCAGGGGTGTGGGAAGTGGCCTCCCCAAGGGCCTTGTGACAGGCATCCGGACCATTCTGCAGAGCTCTGGGCATGGGCAGAGGCTGGCCACCATCTGGCCATGAGCAAGGAAATGCCAAGTCCGGCTGCTGCCAACGTCTGTTAGTAACACACAGGTGATTCTCTAGAAATTGCCCCAGCCAGTCCCACAACGTGCCCATACATGACACACAAACACGCATGCACAAGGACACAGGAGATGTGCCCTGGCACAGACGCACACACCTATAGCCCGGCACCCACGTGTGGAAACCTCGGGGGCTTCTCGAAGGAAATCGAGACCCTCAAATTACAAACGCTCACACACTGTCACAAAGTCAGAGAGCTCATTTAATAAAATAAAGCCTTCTACCTTTCTTCTCCTTAGTCACTTTAAAATACATTTATGATCCATAAAAATACTTTCCTTGCAACTTATCCTTTTCTCACTGTGAAAAGGGGGAAGGTGGAGCTGGGCAGCCTGGACTGGGAAAATGGGGAATGACAGAATGAGTAACAGAGCAGCTTCTCCCTCCCAGAAGAGGGCCAGTGAGTGGGGACAGATGTGGTCAGGCACGGGCTCTGCCTCGGCCTACAGCCTGCAAAAGGCTTCCTGCTTTTCTTCCCTGCTTCCGAGCTCAACACCAGGGGTGGCAAAGCTGTCCATGGTGAGCAGTAGACCAGAGAGAGAGTGAAGGGGCTGTGGCTAATGGAGGAAATGACAGTGGTGGGGACCAGCATCCTTGACCTCTGCGTAGTCTTGCTGGGTGCCCTAAAGGTGGACAGCTGCCCGGCAAGAATAGCTCTAGGGCCTGGCCTGGGAGTGAAGGCCCCCTACTTCCATCACCAGCTGGCCAAACAGATAGATCCCTGTGCAGGACATGGCCCCAGGGAGAGTCCAGTCCAAAGTCAAAAGCCAACACAGAAGAAAATCAAGAGGCCAACCTGGGCAGAGGCCCCCTCAAAGAGAGCTGGCTGCCCCTTGCCTGGCCTACCCAGACCAGACCCTGGCCAGCCACGCTGCATTCTCTGCCCAGTTCTCTCCTGCCCCCAGGGAGCCCAGACTCTGCCCTGGAACACATGAATGGGTGAGGGGCAAGCGCTGAGTCTACTGGGCCTGAGCCATTCCTGACACCCCACCCCTACCCCTGGCAGAGTTTGGTTGTTCTTTAAGCTCGTCCCCTGGCTTCCTGCGAGGTCAGACCGGGCAATCCAGTACAGACAAGATTGTGACCCAAAGCACGGGGAAGGAGGACTGTTCAAAGGCAGTAAACAGAGAACGGGGATTGGGGCGCCGGTGCGGACACTGCACTGGCTGTGACTGCCAAGGAGGCAGGCCGACTCAACTCTACATGGTACCTTGTGCCGCCCCAACGCCCAGAATCCTGGAAGCCCGTCCTGAATCCATTCCACCTGGACCAATTTGCCTGATCTTCTGAACGGAGTCCTATCTTTGCTTCCTATTTTGCTAAAATTCCCATGAAACTGAGTGTCGATGACAATGCCACTGTCGTACCTTGAAAGTTCCGGAGTCAGGGGTGGGTGGTCAAGCTGCTCCCCATCCCGCTGATTTGTAGGTTGTGTATCTGTGTCAGGGGAACCACATGGTAAAGACTTTTGCCATGCTGGTTTTGCAGTCAGAATTCTTCGCCCCCTCTGTGAGTCTGAGTTTGGGAAAGCTCACGGTGGACCCAGCCCCGGACCTGAAATCCAATGCTAGGTCCCGCTTCCCGATTTGAACAGTTGAGCAGCAGCAGAACAGCATCCTTTTCCAAGAGCTCAGGCTCGTCTCCTTGGGTGTGTGCAATGAACACATCTCTACCCTTTGTTGCTAAAGAACTCCATTAAAAGAAAAAAAAAAAAAGTCCAAGTGACAAGTTGTCAGGTCCAGGCTGTGCTGTGTTATGGTCAAAATATTCTTTGGCATCCATAGAATGATTCGACTGATTCACTGGACTTTTGCAAGGTTCTTGTTGAAGTTCTAGCTTCACCAGTGGCGGAAGTGACCCAGGAGTAATTCATGAAAGAAAAAAAGCCATGTTTTCACTGAATTCCTTGTTTGTTTGTTCCCTGAGCTATCACCCTGGGGCCTCTCCACTGAAACTCTTCAGAGCAACTACCTGGGACCTAGAGGGTGGAACGGAAAAGGTGGCAGGCGGGTCGGTGGTGGGGAGGGAAGGCATAGCCAGGAAAGGGGGTCACGTCTCATAGGGATAGAGGAACCAGGAACATTCAGCAAGACTTGAACCCTATCCCAGGCCCCGGGATCCCACTGCTTGTTGGAAGGAGGAGTTTCCAAAAGGAAACTGAGGAAGAAGCTCGTCTCTTAGCTGGACTGGAAAATTTGAAAAGGCAAACGGTCTGGTCTGGTCAGGTCAGTTGTCTGGGAGTGACCAGACTTGGGCCGAGACTGGCCCCGAAGGAAGGAAGGAAGTTGGAGCCCCAGAGCAATTCTCTAAGTGGGGGAGTCTGAGCCCCACGCCCCTGTCTGGGCACTGGCCCTCCCTTGCAGCCCTCCACCGGCACTGGCGGCTGGCTGTTTGGGAGTCCCCTGAGTAAATGGCACAGCTCAGGAAGAGTTCCAGGAACCCTTTCTCCGAGCCGCCGGGCTGGGCACTGGCAGGGGTGGAGCAGCAGGGGAGTGGAGGGTCGCGGGGTGGGCGGGCAGGCCTCAGATGATGTGGGTTGATCAGGAACAGCTGTGGTTCCTCTGGAACCAGCGGGCCCTCTGCGCCCCCTCAGTGCTTTCTTGTATAAGCTCGTTGTGCTTGTGACAGTGAGTAGACTCTGGCTGGGTATCACTTATTAGACTTCCTCGGGGATCAGTGGAGTGCAGCAGGACCCCCCAAATGGACCCCAGTAGGATTTGGGGGCAAGGCGGGGCAGGCCCTGGGCTGGCCCATCTGCCATGAAATAATGCCCAAACGACGGTCTGTGTCACCCAGTGGCAGCGGGCTGGAGTCCTGGGCTCTTCCTCACCTTGCCTATATCTAGCCAGGAGCCCGGCGAGGCCGTGCGGGCCGGGGCGGGGCGCTGCCAAGGCAGGGACAGTGCCCAGGACCTGCAATGGTCCTTGCGGCCAGAGCTGTGGAAGGAATCCTACTGTCCTAGGCCAGCACAGAGGAAAGACAACAGTGTAGAATTCAAAACTCTCTCTATATTAAAAATAAAACCACAACAGAGTGGCAGTCTCAAGGGTCTGAGACACTCAGCAGAGATAGGAAATGGCAGTTGTGACTGGGCTGAGGCCTCATAGGAGGACCAGGGCAGGGCCCGGGATGGGGTAGGGGTGACTTAGGAGGCCAGTACCCCCATGCGGACCACCTCCTCAGCCCCCGCTTCCCGGGGAGCCTGCTGCACCCCACTGTCCTCAGCTTCCACATCTGAGTCGCTCATCTCCCCATCAGAGAAGTAGCCATCAGTCTCAGTGTCAAAGTGTAGGCTGACCTTGGGCCTCTCGGCCTCAGCAGAGGGCGGTCCTGTCCCAGCGTCAGGCCTGGCACCTGGCGATCTCCGGGTTCCCTTGTTTTCGCGGGGCAGCCGGAGCCGGCCCAAGGGCTTGGGGCTCACTGGAGGGCCAGGCACTTGGACATTCGAGTCAGCAGCCATTGGGACTGCCTCGTCCGGGGTCTCGGGGGCCAGAGGGGGGCTCTCGGGGGCTGCTGGGATGGGACAGTCCCCAGCTGCAGGGCTAGATGGCAGGTGGGAAGGCGTTCGCCGTGTTGCTTTCCGGGCCACTGGCCCTTGGCCCCCCTTGCCAGAGCCCGCATCCTGGCCCCAGGGCTTCTTGGGGGATTTGTCTGGAATCGTCCGTGAGCCAGGCCCATCCTGTGGTGGCTTCTTCTTGGCAGGCAGGCGGGTGCGGCCCCGGGCTTTCCTGGCAGGGTCCCCGGGGCGCAGTGATGGGTCCCGCATGAAGCTCAGCAGTGTCTCCTCGTCTTGCAGCAGCTCCTCTGACAGCAGCCCCGGAGTGGGGTCTTCACGGTGCCCGTGGTTCAGCGACCACTCGCTCATGGCCATGTTCTCTGCCGTGATCTGTACTGACTGAGCCAGCCAGCTGTTGAAGAAGGTGCCGTCGATGGGGAAAGAGGTGGACAGGCCTGGCCGAGGGGAAAGAGGAGGAAAGTGAGACGCTCGCAGGTGTGGGTCGTACCCTCTCTCAGGAAGCCCTCTCAGACCCTCCCCAGCAGGCCACCTGCCTCCCTCCCTCACTCTATGCCAGACCACAGTGAGCTGTCTGGATGTGCTGATCCCTCCCGCCAACACCACCAAAGAGGAGAGGCCATAGCATATACCCCTCTCCCCCAGATCAACCTACTCCCAGAACTGGCTTCATGATTTGTGGTGCAGAATGCAAAGGGAAAATGCGGGCTCCCTGTTCAAAATTATTAAGATATTTCAAGGCGACAAGAGCAGAGCATTAAACCAAGCAAGAGCCCTTTGAGAATGCACAAATACACACCCGTGAAGCCAGCTCTGCCCACCACCCCCATCCCCAGGGAAGCAGGAGAGGGAGGAATGAAAGGAAACGCCCTCAAGCCACCAGTGGGTGCTGGGTTTCGTAAGAGCTCCTTCCAAAGCAGAGAAGCTGGATCAGTATATCCGGCATGTATAGGGTAGCCAAGTGCTTCTGGGTCGAAATTCCCTCTTGGGGGTCTGGGGCGGCAGGTGTTCCTGGGCCTTCCTTTTGATACCCAAGTGGTCCCTTCTTGAGACTGATGGAAAGACAAGATGACCTGAGGCCTCCCTGCTGGAGGTGAGGTCTGGAAGATGCCACAGCCATCCCTAAAAAGTGTTCTGGGGAAGCATATGACACCTCTGGAGAAAGAGCCCAGAGCCGGGCTGTTCTGCTTAATGCAGCTGCAGTAAGGAGTCTGAGTGACGATGGGCTGGGCCAGTACCTGTGGCATCTCCTTTGGGTCTTTCTGGGTGGCTCCAGGAAGGTTCCCTGGTGCTGGAGGGAGGGCTCACTGGAGAAATTCCAGCAGAGTGGGACCAGGATGGAGAATTCTGGCAGACCCTCATCTCCCAGCATAGGGCTGCATTCTGGAAGGGCCTAGATGGCCTACTGGATCCCTTGAGGGCCTCCAGAAAAATCTGACATCCAAGACTGGCTAGTGGAATGTGCGTGTGAACTCCTGAGCCCCCGGCCTAGTCTCCAGGTCTACAAAAGGGGAATTTCTTGGGATGCCAGGCAGGACTCTGAGACCCTACCTGGTTTCCCTTATGGCTAAAAGGTGTGAGCCCCTGAGTATGGAAGGGCCTGGTTAGCCCTTTGGCCTTCCTACTTGGTGCAACAGAGGTGCTGGGAGATCCTGCTGGCCTTAGGTTGGGGACTGACTACAAATAGAGTGATGATGTGAGCCTGGCCATGTCTGCCAGGCCAGTGTGGCCACTCACTCACCCAGCTGCCCCAGGACTGAGTCAGGCCCCGCTTTCACTTTCTCTTTCTTCTCAGGGCTGCCCTTTGGGCCCTCGCGGCCTTTCCTTTTCGAGTCGCTCTTCTTGCCCTTTGCTCTCCTCCCAGACCCCTCTGTGCCAGGGAAAGAAAGAGCAGGAGGGAAGTGGTTACCCAGAGCAGCTCAGTCAAAACCGTCCTAGGAGTCCTCGCTCACCTGAGCCTCACCTTCCAGGTCACCTTGCCCTGCTGATGGGCCCCAGGCTCAGAGCCATGGGCGCCTAGGGTAAGTGGGGCTCCAGTGAGTCAGGGACAGCTGGTGGGAAAGAGAGGGGTCACTGCCTACTGCTGCCCTTGAGCAGCTTGGGGAGGGCACAGGACCACGAAAAGGGTGGAGGACACCCTGGAGGACCTGGAATGCAAGCTGATCTACAGGCCTATAGATGTGGAGGGAGTCCTGGTCGGTGGGGGAAGAAGTTGAGCAGCCAGGACAGGCAGGAAGGCCAAGTTGAGTGGCCAGGACAGGGCCTTCAAGGCCAGGCCGAGGAGCCAGGCAGGATGGGGTAGAGGAACTGAGGAGTTGAGAGACATGGGTTCTAGTCAGGCCCTTGAGCAAGTCTCCTCCCTGGTCTCCTGATCTGCTCTTGAGGTCACTCAATAGATGGCAGACTAGGGGTGCACACCTGGCCCTCATATCCTTTTGATACCTGACCACACAGGTCTAGGGAACCCGAGAATACTGGAACAGGGGAGGACATCTGTAGGGAGAGGCCCAGTTGCCAGAAATCTCCTAGCTTTTTAGCCAGAGGCTGGCGCGGTTTCCAGATAAAGCTTCACAAGGAGGTTGAGGAATATGCAGTCTTCCCAGCTCTGTTGCTAATTGCCGGCGCAACCTCTAGCTGGGCCTCAAAAGCCTCATCTCTGAGGTGGGACCTGTGCCAGCATAATTTGGAGACTTTGAAGCTCCCCTCGGGAAAGTCTGAGATCTTTTGAGACCACAAGACTTTGCATTTCTGACCCCATCAACCCCCAAACCTCATTTGAGACATTGTCCTTTTGTCCCAGTGGCTGCTAGGCCAGCCTCCTTCCAGTTTCTCTAAAAAGGCAGGCTTTGGCTTCTAGGATTCCAAACCGTCCTGCCCTCCACCCGGTTCAGCTCACGGCATAAACGTCACTACTGTGGGAAGCCTTCTCCAGCCGTTTGGCCGGACAGGCCTCAACAATCTGCTGGTGGTAGCCATGTCCTATCCCAGGGGCCGAATGTCAAAACCCCGAGGGCATCAGTCAGGTAGGGGCAAACCTGTCTCCCTCCAAACGGCCTGCTCTGAACAAAGGGCTGCCTGTTGCCACCGCTCAGGTCTAGGAGCTGTAAAAGTGCCCAGACTCAACACGGGTACAGGACCCTGGCTCTTGACCAGGTTTCTGGAATTCTAGAATCCTGCACCTGAGGCTACTACATGCCCTGCCACTTTCTGTCGCCCTGATGGTGGGGCTCTCCGTCTGCAGCCAAATGCATGGCTGCAGTGAGATCCCAGGAAGCCTGATGTGTTTCCAGAATCACCACTGCTGTGAAGCCATCCCTGATACTCTGTCTCTGCACTGGTGCCAGCTGCAGCCCCTCGGACACCACTCTCCTTTACCTTTCCAGATGAGAGGCTCCACAAGGACAGGGACTCTATCCATTCAGTCCATGGCAGTGTGCCCCATGGTGCCCAGCACAGAGCCTGGCATACTGTCTACACTCAGTTCATGCTTGCTGCAAAAAATCAACAGATAAGAGGGAGCCTGGAAAGCTCTGGCTGCCAGGAAGCTGCCAGTCCTGCGGAAGCACAGTAAGGTCTGACCTCTGCGTGCACTCGACCCAGCCTGAACCAGGACTTGTATTTGGCAGGGCTAAGGTTTCTTAGGCCAGAGTGGGTTGTGATCCCAAAGGGCACAGCAGGCAGCTTGGCTGGGGCGAGGACGGGGCGGTACCAGGGGCTTGCTTTGAGGGTGGCCCAGCAGCGGCAGCTCCTGGCTCAAAATCTCTCTCCATCTGGCTACATGTCTTCCAACATTAAAGAGCCGTTTTTTGAGTGAAGCATTGCCCTCCTTAAGATGCACACACTCTGGGAAGGGCCCTGTGTCTGGCAGTATCCACACAACTAACAGACAGCAGCAATGTTGAAGCTTCTTTGGCCTTGATTTCCAGATCTGTTGAGCGCATGTCACAGCAACAGTTGAAGCAAATAAAGAAAAAACCCTGCTGGTACAGTGTCTAAATTCTATCAGATGAGGTCAGAGGGTAAGAACACACAGGTTCTCTTCCATCTCTGGAGCAGCTGCCTGATTCAGGATCCACACAGAGGCACACAGGTTCAGGGAAGCTCACTAGCTTCCGCCCGTCCTGCCCCAACAGCAGCCTAGAGCGACTGTTGACATGCCGTCCACTCCAGAACCATGATGGCCCCGGAAGTACTTAGGTGTTCCCAGTGGACCAGAAAGCTCCCTGGCCGAAGCCTACATTCCCAGCTCTGGCTCCTTGTCAGTCAACACACAAGAGGGCCCTAGGCAGTCCCATCTCGGTCTACTAGTTGGTTATGGACAGTCCATGTATGGGCCAGCAGCCCCGGGCTCCTTGTACATGCCCCCTGTACATGTACAGGCCCTAAACACACACCCTCCCTGGGCCGTGGCCCCCTGATAGTGTGCACACTGAGCAGGGGCTGGCAGATGGCAGGGAAGGCACCCACCTCGACATAGGTCCTGTTCAATCAGTTTCATCTGCAGGTGGAATATCTGCTCCTGGAGTTTGCAGATGGCGTGCTTCGTCCTCTCGCGCCTCGTCACCATGTAGCACAGATTTCTAACCTGAGGAGACAAGAGAGAGGTTTGCCACTTTACTCACGGGTGGTCACCACTGACCTCCCCGCTCTGGGGGGCCACCGCTGCCTACTCTGCCCAGGACATCTGGGAATCAGTTCCCAAGCCCCGAGTGTATCCTCGGCTCTGAGCCACAGTTCTCTGGTCCAAAACACAGGCGGAGCAGAGCCTTGATCCTGCGGCCCCCTCTGAGCCAGAGTCAGGAAGGGACGCAGGGAGATCATCTGGTGAGCTCAGGCTGGTGACTCCCCCCACCTCCTCCTGGCCACCATTTCCTGGCCCAGTCTGCCAAGCTGCCCCTCAAGGCCTTTCCAGTGTGGCTGCCCTCTCCTATTTACACAGTGCCCCAAGGCTCACTGGGACTTGGCAAGGTCACCAGGTCCATCCCTCTGCCTCCTGTCCAAGGCCTCTTTTTCCAAGACATTCCTCAGCCATAAGCCCCATCGCAAACCCAACTCCTGTCCTAGGACACAGAACAGTGACACCTCCAGCAGAACAGCTTCTGACCCAGCATGGTTCTGCTGTGGCCAAGCCATGTCCACTTGCTGCACTAGGACCAAAGCCAAGCTCACGCCTGCTCTGGCCAAAGCCCCTAGTCCACATGGCTACGTCCTCAGGAGAGAGGGTAGGGGCCTCTCTGACTTCCTTCGGTCAGCTAGGAAGAGTGTTGAGTGCCTGGGAGACCAGTTTGCTTAGCTCACGGGACACAGACCCACTTCTGCAGCTGTTCTGAAAGCACCTGAAGCCTGAGCCATGTTGTTCCCTGTCCACCTGGCACCCTTCTCCAGCATGCCATCCCCTCATTGCTGCTCTCAGAATGGAGCACACTTCTGAGGCCAAAACCAGGCCCTCTCCGTCAAGACATTTCCTTGTTCCAGCATCGTGTTCTGCTCAGGGTGGAGCCTTAAAGCAGGGACAGCTGGCCAGAAGCTGTGAGCTGGAATTCTGGGTCCCACCAGGATAGTCTCTCTGTCTGTGGCTGGGTTCTGCCTTCAAAGCCGAGTTCAGGCTTCATGTCCTTAAGCTGCCTAGGGGTGACCTGTGGGATCGGGAGTCCTTGCTTTTGTCATGACCTTCATTTCTTCTGGCCTGGGGGACAGCTGTGATCACACCCCTCTGCAGACATGGGCATCCTCCCCTTCCTTCCTGAACCTAGCAGTGGAAGAGATCCCAGAAATGCCAGGCTCTGCAGGAACTCCAAACAGCACTCCATACTGCTAAGTGCACCTAGCCTAGACCCTGGACACAGGCCATCCATGGCCCATACCTCCCTAAGGGGCAGCCACCTGGTCCTGCCTAAGAGCCCTTGCTTCCTCTCAAATCCTGGACTTCCTCAGGACCTCCTCGTAGCCACATATCCCTGAACACCAGCTGTGGCTCTGGGAACTCAGGTGGTGTTGGGCCCTGGGCTCAGCGGTGCACAGCGCCATTGGGGAGATCCCTTTCTTCTGAGGGCTTCCTGCCTAGCAGGGCAGAAAGATGTAGAGCAAGTATTGACAGGACAAGGCAACCCGATGCAGACCTGGGGTGGTGAGAAGGCTTCTTGCACAAAGGGGAAGCCAGGCCAAGTGAGAGATGATCATGCACAAGGGCAAACAAGGCCAGACAGGGGAGAGGCAGGGCGAGACCTTGTGGCTAGTGTGCCAGGCTTTACCCAATTGAGCCAGGCCGAGGGGATCTGAGGAGGGACTTTGCTGGGGATGGCGGGGTGGGGTGTAAGTGCTGAGAACCTAGAGTCACCCTTCAGGACCTAGCTCCTCTTCACCTGCCCCCAGAGCCAGTCCATCAGCACGCCCCATTAGTCCCTAGTGAACCTCATTCCTATTAGCTCCCTCCACTTCTGGTCACCATATCAACTCCACCAGGACAGGCAGGCATCCTGACCCTTCAGCTATCTCAGACCGTCTTCTTGAAATATAAAATCCCCCTCCCCTTAACACCCCCACTGGTTTTCCTACCAGGATGAACAGTGCCCCTTGCCAAATTTTACGTTCACGTGGAATCTCAGATATGATCAGCTAAGATGAGGTCATACCGGATATGAATGAACCCTAAATCTAGTGACTGGTATTCCTATAAAAGGCCACATGAAGACCATGTGAAGAAGTATAGAAAGCATGCCACGTGACAACAGAGGGATAGATGGAATCGGGGGTCTACAAGTCAAGAAATGCTAAGAATTGCTGGGAATCAAAAGCTAGGAGAGAGGCCTGGAACAGATCCTCCCTCAGAGCCTCTAGACAGAATCAACCTTGACAACGCCCTGATCCTGGACTTGGAGTCTTTAGAACTGTAAGAAAACACATTTCTGTTAAGACTTCAAGTTTGTAATGCTCTGTTATAGAAGGCCTAGGAAATGAACACAGCTTCCTATGACACTTAAGAAAAAAAAAAATCAGAGCCAAGTCCAAAGCCTTGCCCAATCTGACCTCCCCCAGGCACCTCACAGCCCATGTCCCACAGCCTTCCAGTCTTGTCCTTTCTGAGTCCAACCCCTTTCTTCCTTGGGACCTTTGTATATATTTGAGGCTCTTTCCAAGGCTGGACCTTGTCCTTTAGGTCCTGGCTCAACTGTCACCTCCAAAAGACCTTCCTTGTCCACTGCATCCAAGCAACCCAACATTATTCTCCCTGTATCCTAGACTGTTTCCCTCCTGGTAGTCGCACGGCCTGGTGTGCATGGGGACATTGGGGATGAAGAGAGGTGGACAGATTCATGGATACTTTGGAGGCCTGAAAACAAACCAGTCAACACGTTCAACCTAAAACACAGATCAGTCAAGGTATAGCTTTAAAAAAATTTACCAAATATGTCATTCTCAAACTTTACTCTTAACACTAACTTCTAAAGATGACCTGAGGCTCAGAACTGCAGATGTCCCTCTCAAAGAAACCAACACTTAAGAACTTCCTATTAAAATACAGACTTTTTTTGGTCTTTTATCTTTTACAAAAGGGTTTCTTAAAGCAAACCCAAATGAATTACCAGCATCAGAGTCCCTTGGGTAGCTGGTTAAAAACACGGATTCCCAAGGCACCTGTGTGGCTCAGTTGGTTACGTGTCTGCCTTCAGCTCAGGCTGTGATCTCAGGGTCCTGAGATTGAGTCCCACATCAGGATCCCAGCTACGCCAGGAGTCTGCTTCTCCCTCTGCCTCTGCCTGCAGCTTCCCCTGCTCGTGCTTTCTCTCTCTTTCTGTCAAGTGGATAAATAAAATATTAAAAGCAAAAACAAAAAAAACCCCACGGATTCCTAGTGGGGAGCCTGGGTGGCCTCAGTCATTTAAGTATCTGACTTGATCTCAGCTCAGGTGTTAGTCTTGGGGTTGTGAGTTCAAGCCCCGTGTTGGGTTCCACACTGGGTGTGCAGCGTACTTACACAAACAAACAAACAAAAACCCACACAGATTCCCAGGCTTGGGAGATTAGCAAAGTCTCTGGGGGTTGGTTCCTCAAATACACATTTTATATAGCACTACCTAATCTGAAAGTTACTACCCTCAGCCAAGCACCTCCAAAGTGAGCTGCACAGGCTACTGAGTTAGTTCATCACAGTATAGGAAAAAGACATTAAAATATCTACTGGTGTGAGTGTGTGTGTGTGTGTGTGTGTGTTTAATATTTTATTTTTAAGTGACCTCCATACCCAGCGTGGGGCTGGAACTCCCAACCCTGAGATCAAGAGTCACACACTCTACTGATGGAGCCAGACAAGAGCCCCCACCAGAGTATTTCTGGTCCTGTGAGAAATTCTGATTATGTCTGCTTCTTAATATACAGTGGTAGATATGAACAAGACATGAAAAAGTATAATATATTGTAGGTAAATGCTGAGTTTTTCCTCCTGATAAGGTACACTACACAATCACCGATACCTAGAGACTCTCGCTGTAGAAGATAGGAATGCTTCTTCCTGTGAGAATCTCAATAATGCCTACACACTGGTCGGGACGGGACTCCCTGCTGCCCCCTCACCCTGGAATCACCAACTAATTCTCTAATTTCTCTCAAGACTGTTGGTTAAAAACAAACAAACAAACAAACAAACAAACAAAAAAACCCGTTTGTTGGTTCCATACTTAATTTTACCGAATGGAGCATTCCTCTCCTGTGACGGCTTTTGGGGACCAAATATTGATACCGTAGAAGCTCATCCGACCTATCAAGTTCCTTACAATGTCATTACTGTTTTTTTTTTCTGATTATAAACATAAAAAGTTCTCTTAGAAAAAAATGGGAGTGAGGGGCGCTTGGGTGGCTCAGTCTGGTTAAGTGTCTGATGTTAGATCAGGTTATCATCTCAGGGTCCTGGGATTGAGCCCCACATGGAGCTCCTTGATCAGCAGGGAGCCTGCTTCTCCCTTTCCCTCTCCCCATCCCCAGCTATTCTCCCCCCCCCAAATAAATAAATAAAATCTTAAAAAAAAAATCAGAGGGGCGCCTGGGTGGCTCAGTGGGTTAAAGCCTCTGCCTTTGGCTCAGGTCATGATCTCAGGGTCTTGGGATCGAGCCCTGCATTGGGCTCTCTGCTCAGCTGGGAGCCTGCTTCCCCCCACCCCACCTGCCTCTCTGCCTACTTGTGGTCTCTGTCAAATAAATAAATAAAATCTTAAAGAAAAAAATCAATCAAGTTGCAAAGTCCCCCCAAACTAGGGATTGGTCATAAAAACAGCCTTTCTATTTTGATGAAATTGTTGCAGTTATCAGCAAATTTTACAGAGTGAACCTGAGTATGGGTGAGGAGAGGGGAGGGGCAGGGAAGGCTTCTGGCTAGTTATATTGAGCTAGACTAGACTAGTGCTGAGGCATCTGTGGAGACTAGGGAGGTTGTGGGGGGAGCAGGCTTGGACCTGGGTGTGCTGGGCATGAGATGCTGGAGCCCAGAAGGGAGGTGTGGGCTGGACCAGCCTCCTGAGGGGGAGCAGAGCCATGGAGCAGAGCACTGAGAAGTCCCCCTGAGTGTGGTGAACTGATGATCCCTGGGGCCAAGAAGTATTCACAGGAAGCAGGAGAATAAGTATTAAGGGAAGATGTGGTCAGAGTATCCAAAAGAAATCTATTTTAAGACCAAAGGTATGTCTGACAGTGGCTACCATGGCTGAGAACGCTGGAGGATGAGGATGGTGTAGTGGCCATGAGAAGATGGAAGGTGGAAGCTACTGGTGGCCTTGGTGGATAGTTATGGAATATGGTGGTGGCAGGAGCCTGGCCAGAATGGGAAGCAAGGAATTAAGAGCAGTGAGGGAAGACAGGAAAGGGAGGATGGGGATGGGGGTAGTAGCGGGTTCCAGGACTAGAGGGACAATGGGGAGGGAGGATGTGTTTTCAGAGATGGGAGAAGGTGAAACAGACTCAAATCCTGGAGACTGAGTGGGCCTAAAGAAAAGGATGACTCCTGTGCTGCAGGGTGTACACTGGGGGAAGGGAGGATAAGGAGAAAGGGGAGAGAACCAACAGAGGGCTCCACGGCCAGAAGTTGGAGGGCTGCCTCTTGTCTGAGGCACAGAAGTGAGGTTGAGGGCTGAGAAGGGGGAAGCCCGGAGTAAGATGAAATAGGGGTACAGACGAGGAGTGTTTGGGCTGGGGAGCCCAGAACATCACAGAACAAGGCTGGCTGACAGGAACCTTGGTGAGGTTTACCTGCTGCTCAGCACAATGGGATTGCTAATAGGTGGGCCTCTGCCAGGTATGTGGCCTTCACACAGTGGCAAGGGCATGGGCAGCAAGCCAAATGGGGTGGGGCTAAAGAAAACGGGGGACAGCCAAGGGGGGGCTGCAGAACGGAGCAGGGAGACAGGAGGCTGTGGGCAAGTAGGGGGATTCGAGGTTGCAGGGTTACTGATGGGGCAGTGAGGTGAGGGGGTGACCAGGTTTCAGTGGAGTGAGGACATGAGTGGGTTGGCAATGTGCTAGAAATGGGCGATAGAGGGGTTGAGGGGCTATAGTTCTGGGGCACAAGGCAGGCTTTGGTAGGAGGCCAACGAGAACAAGTCCGGGTACTGAGGACAGAGGAGATGGGGTATGACTGACCTGACAAGGAAGTGGGTGGGTGGCGAGTGTGGGAGAGTATCAGAAGTGTGGCCTTGGGGAGATCCCACAGGTCTTTCCTCAGGGAGGGGGGCGAGTGTCTGAGAGCTCTCCCCTCTTTCCCAAGCCAGGTCATGTTCTTAAGCAAACTCCTGGTAACCAGACCCAGAGCCACAGGCATGGAGCCCCATGCAGCCCAAGCCGCTGGCATGGTTGCTAGGGCACACCAGGCGGCGTTGACAGGCTGCTCATCAGTGCTGCGATTTTTGTGTCAGCTGTGAATAACTCCGGGAGCCCACAGCGGCCGTGCCTTCCTGAGCAGCCTGTTGGGGCCACGGCCTGCGGCTGAGATTTTAGGAACACACATCTTCCAAGCCGACCATAAAATGGGACTTCAGGCTAGTGGCGGCAGCACGGCCCTGGCTTCTGCTTCTCTCAGCAAAACCCCTGCCTGGCCTTGGGGGACACGGCGATCAGGGAGTATGTTCTGTGATTCCTCCCCAGGTCCTTGCACAGGGCCTGTGTGCTCAGTCCTCCACAGGGCTCCTCTCCAAGCAGCCCACTCTTCTAAGAGCCAGACAGCAACTATAACCATGGTGGACAGCAGAGGTCACTGTGCTCCCACCTTCGCTATGACGCCAAGGTCAGTTGGCTCCTTATTCCCATTTTACAGAAAGGAAACCGAAACTCAGAAGACACACAGCTGGGAAATGCCAGAACTGGATGCAAACCCAGGCTGCCCAAGGCTTCGTCTCAACCCCAACCCTGGTCCCTGATGCATCTGGCCCCCAAGCTGGCCTGGTGCCCAGTCAGAGGCTGGCTCCTTTCGGCCGTTGGCAATGGGCCATGGCCAGGCCACCAACAGTCATGGGTCTCCACAGAAAGCATCCCCCTGTGGCAGAGCTCTCAGCCCTGCTCACTCACACAAGCCACCAATGCATGGCTGTGAAAGGCCCCAAGGCTAGACCCGGAGGGGTCAGTCTGGCAGTCTCTCCTTGGCCGGCTAAGGCTGTGCACTCCCTCACTTTGTTCTCAGCTGCTGCCCGCCAGTTCTGCTCAGGGGCTGCTGGACAAGCATTTTGATGGGGGCCCTCCCAAGCCCTGAAAAGTCAGCCCTGCCCCCTCTTCCTGGAGGAAGAGTAGGCGGATTCACACCTGACTTTGGAGGGCTCTGTCCCTTTCCCAAAGGTGTCTGCATGGCAGCTCTGGTTGCCTGGGAACTTCTGGCATCCTAGCCCTTGACCTTGGCTCCTGGCCACAGCTGTACCAGCTGACAGTGAGGTCCAGAGGTTGGGGGGATTGATAAAAGGATGCTTTTGCTCAGGAAGTGTAGAGAACAGGAGGTTAAGGCAACAGCTCTCCTTACAATAAACCTCCCACCTCTCCCCTCCATTCAGGTCCAAATTCAAGTCATACCCTAGAAAACACACTTTCCTCAAAGGCTCCTTGTCATTCATCTTCCAGACCCTTCCAGACCCCTAGCTTTCTCATCTGCTCATTAGGGCCAGCAGAAATTACTTTGTCTCTTTTCCTAGGATGATGATTAAATAAGTCACCTGCCTCCTGGCTTCTCCTACACTGCCCAGCTGGAGCCAGATTGTGGGCTGACCAGCACAGACCCTAGGGAGATCACACCTGAGGGGTCATCTGGGAAACAGCAGGAGTAAAAGCAAGGTGTGAGCGCTGGAGCCCTGGAGGGTGCAGAGTCAGGGGTGGCCCGAGGACAACTCTGGAGGCAGCTCTGGTCTCTGAAAGTACTCCATGTCCTCATATACTTGATGCCACTGCCACATGAGACAGGACACTGGGCTGCCCAGGAAGTGGTGGCTACAACATAGATGGCCTTGCCCTCTGGCCTGGCTGGAGCCAGGGACATCTGCTGTCCCCACTCTCCACCTGCCAGCTGCCAGGCAGTAAGCCCCCTCCCAGGTCAGCAGGGACGTTTCCCCTTGACTGGTGCTCCAGGGAGAGGATGAGGCTGATGGAGATAGGGCAAACCGGGCCCAGTTTCAGCATCTCCATCTCACGTTTTCCCCAATATAGCAGAACACCTGCCAAGTTGTTCTACCCATTTTATAGACTTGCCAACAGAGATGGACCTAAGATAAGCAGCGGCCTCAGGTCACACAAAGCCCCCTGAACATGACCACACAGGGCAGTCTCCTAACAAGACCTGGGGCAAGGATAGGCATGTGTCTCTGTGCCACACACGGAAGACAATGTGACATGATCTCACGTGCTCTGGAACCCTCGGACTGAATGTCCCAAAGACGAGGGGCTGGAACAGCACCAGGATGGTTCAGAGACCATCCTGTTTCATCCTTGGGTTGCCTCCAACCTGGTGGTAGCAACGGAGGTAACACAGTGGGAAAGAAGAGTCGAGTTCGAGGGCTTCCCCAAAGAAGGTGGAAACTCCTCACCTCTTTTCTGGGGGAGTAGAAGGGAATTGAAGCTTTGGGGGGCCTCCACTGCTCCAGGAAAGCAACTCTCACTACCCTTCAACCACCACAGCTCACCCAGAAGCCATGTGTCTCCTCATGTGACTCAGCTCCCAGGACTACCACCTTGCACCACACCCAGACGCCCTGTCTCCCAGCACACAGCTGGGGGGTTTGGGCCATCCATCTGCTGCAGGCCCCACAGGCCCCACAATTCCTTCACCAGGGTGAGTGTTTGGAAGTTGCAGCCAGAGAGGGACAGTCCCTGCTTAAAACATTCCACAGTTTCCACACACATCATGGCCCATCCACTGAGCTCCCTTCTTCTCTCCACACAGGCCACTATGTCTCGGCCCACCTGCATGGCCCTGCACCCCACATTAACACCTGTCTTCCCTGCCCTGGCCCAGCACGTGTTCGTCGGGTTGATCCAAACTGCTATGACTCCCAGTTCCTCCCTGGCCTCGGATCCCGAGCAGAAACGCACGTGCTGGGAATAGGCATGGCTCACAGAGGCCACAAATGGGGACAGAGGCCAGCAGAAGCTGGAAGCCTGGACTATGGCCCAGCTCTGATGCCCTCTAGCTGCAGGACCCTGGCAGGGCCCCCACCCCTTCACCTATAAAAAGGTAGGGACAAGAGGGGCTCAGAGACCCAAGGGCCAGATGCTCCCCTCTTCTGCCCCACAGCAGACAGCCCCGCCCTGTTACAGAACCAGAGGCCCTCAGTCCCTTGGCCAGAGCGCGCCGTCTGAGTCCTGGAGAGCCGTGGCTGCTGCAAGGCAGAGCGCACGGGGTGGAAAGGCTCCCGGGACATCCCCTGGGTAGGCAGGCTGGACAGCGGGCCAGAGCCGGGGCCACTCACCCTCTCCAAGTCCTGCCGCAGGTGTGTGAAGAGCTTGAGGCGGCGGTAGAGGACATCCTGCTCCTGCTGGGCCAGGTTGTCCACCTCGTCGGTCTTGGGGGTCAGCAGCGGCTGGTTGGCGTTGGCTTTCCTCTTCAGCTTCCAGTACTGGTAGATGAAGTCCACCAGCGCCTCAGCCAGCTCCAGCCGCTCAGCCACCTCGGCCGGCTCCACCAGCTCGTAGAAGTCTTCCTCCAGTTGCTGCAGCCGCTGTTTGCGCACGGTCACCTTCTCCAGGTCCTCGCCAGCCGGGCTGGGCTCCGCGGGGTCGGAAGTGGGCTCCCCCCTGGGGCCCCCGTCACTGTGCTCCTGGCAGAACGACTTGAATTTGACCTCGTCGTTGTCTGCTAAGATAGTCCGCATTTCCAGGCCATGGTCAAAGGCGCATGTGACGTGGAACGCGGTGACGCAGGAAGGCATGGAACACTGGAGGGAGAGGAGGGGAAGTGTCAGGCACAAGGGGAGCCCTGAGAGGAGGGAAGAGGTTCCTGAGAATCCAGGCTCCGGGTGAGATCCGACCTAAGGTGGCACGGACGCCCAACATCCTGCGGATATGGAAGGAGCTCTGGTAAATGGGAAGGGGGAGTTCTAGGGGAGCCTGAAATGGGGTTCAGCACCATACATATTCCAGGGAGATGAACAGTCAGGTGATTTGACAACCCTTGAGGATAAGCTGCATGACTGTGTGGGTAAAACGACTTTGGAACAAGAAGAATTAGAATAAAGAGGCTGGTGATGGGGGCGCCTGGGTGGCTCAGTGGGTTAAGCCGCTGTCTTCGGCTCAGGTCATGATCTCAGGGTCCTGGGATCGAGGCCCACATCGGGCTCTCTGCTCAGCAGGGAGCCTGCTTCCCTCTCTCCCTCTCTCTCTCTCTCTCTGCCTGACTCTCTGTCTACTTGTGATCTCTCTCTGTCAAATCAATAAATAAAATCTTAAAAAAAAAAAAAAAAAAAAAAGAGGCTGGTGATGGTCGGTCACTGTCTCCCTTCCACAGCATGAACTAAGATGGGGAGTTGTGCGTCTCCTTTGTCCTCTGGGAAGAGGGGCTGGAAGTGGACCCCTTCCTTCTCTTGCCCAGGCAGCTGGGGCCAACTCAGGGTCTGCTACTCTCCCCTAGCCTTGGAAGATGGCTGTGGGCCGCTCATAAACATTTCAGCAATACCCCACCCAACTATTAATGAACCTTTATGTTGCACGCACAAGTCATTTTGAAAGTCTTAAAAATGGGTGGAAGTACATCTAGTGTCTGCAATGACAACTGTTGCTAGGAAAATGAGGACAAAAAATGAACCCCCATTTTCCAACCCCAAAACCAGCAGCATCACATCATCTGGGAACTTGCTGGAAAAGCAAATTCTCAGCCCATTCCAGATCTACTGAATCAGGACCCTGGGGGATAGGCCCAGCAATTCTGTCTTAACAAGCCCCCCAGATAATACTGCTGCATGCCAGAATTTGGGACCCCCTGCTATGGAGAGACTGCCATAGCCTGGCTCTGCATGGGGAGAGCCTGTTAGCTCAGCTGGAGGAGGAGTGTTTCCTGCCCCTCCCACATGTTACGTTTGATGTCAGAAGTCCCTGGACAGCCACAGGGTGAAGGACCTCGTACCTGGATGCAGGTGCCCGTGCACTCCTTGCAAAGGTTGCAGGACAGAGCCCAGCGGCTGGCGGGGATATGCGAGATCTTGGTGATGGGCTCCATCTTCTCTGGGCACCCAATGCTGACCTGGGCAGGAGACAGGGAGCTGCATCAGGCCTCTCCTCCCCAGCTTGCCTCTAATGATCCCCCAGAAGGGAGCTATCTGCCAAAACCAGGCAGTGGGCACACAGGGCAGTGCGACAGCCCGAATCCTAAGCTGACCAGGAAGTAAGTAAACTAGTGTTTGCTCACCTATGACTAGTCTTAAGTTGTTTGTGACTATGTATGAGAGTGCACATCAGTCCGTGTAGCTGAGTGTGTGTATGTGCCTGTGGCGGTGTGGGCCTTGAGGCAGGGAGGCTATAGAATGTGTGTGTGTGCACGCGCGCAAGTGCGTGCATGCAGATGCACACATAGATGAGTATATGCAGCATCCCCCTGGCTTCTGTATGTCACCCCTTCCGTACTAGCACCTTTGGAGTTCTTATTAGAACATGTGTTTATTTAGTTTACATTTCTGGTCAGCAACTAAGGCCTCAAGGAGGCAGCATCTCTTCTCCTCCAGGGCTTGCCTGGGCACTGGGGATGTGCCTTTATTTAGTCCTGCCTGTCCCTCCTACGGGGACAAGCCAACAACCATTATTTAACTCTCCTGGGCACAGCCCACCCCTCAGCCCCAGGGAATCCATCTGCCTCCCCACTGTCCATGCCTAAGATGGCAGAAGGGCTCCTGTCCAGAGGTCCTGAACCACAGGGCCCCCATGGTGAGGAAGAGCTCTTGCTAGTTCTGTCTCTGTAGTGCCCAGGCCAGGGCCCACTCAGAGGTAGTCCCAGCTTTGAAGAGCTGCTCTGGAAGCAAGATACCACTGTCAACACAACCACAATCACCAAAGAAGCCGACAGTGGGGGTCCCTGTAAGAGCCTTCAGACTGAAGCCCAAGAAGGGGAAGGACCCCTGCTGAAAGGGCCACCTAGCTTGCTTGCAGGCACAGGCAGCAACGGAGGGGGGCCATATTCCAAGTTGGGGCACACAGCAGGGCTGGGGCAGAAACTCTGGTGAATGTCAGCATTTCCTATTTCAAATAAAACAGGATGACCTTCCAGGGGCTCAGTGCTCTGGTGACTCACTAAGTCACAGTGGCCTGGCCTGTCACCCATGGTCCCCCACCACCTAGACTCAGACCCAGGTCAACTCCTCCATCCGAACCACAGCCGTGGTAGCAGGCCCACCATCCACTTCTAATTAGCTCTCTGCCAGACTGCCTGATCTCCTTTTAGGTCAGCTGGCTTATTTTTGTTTTAAGCAAGGAGCCTGATGTTGGCTGGAACCACTGCCTGGATTTCGAGGAACCCATAACACACTTTCCCCTCTGTTCTGCTGCCTGACTTCTGCTCAGCTCTCAGACCTATCCCCTGGGTCCCCCAGGCCCACAATCCCACCTACCCATGGAAACCACCACCTGAGCTCTACCCAAGCCCACAGGCAAAGCTCTCTACGGGTTGCTGCCCCAGTTCCTCTCAGGTGCCAAACGAGACACCCCTTTTTACAGAAGCCTGCTTCTTTCTCAGTGCTCTGCTCCCTGAGTTCTATGCTCCACTTCCCCAGGGCCGCCCCCCGCCCCAATCTGCCCACCTCAGGAATCCACAGCGCGCAGCTGACGTGCACCCACTTAGTCCCGCTTCTGGTGGGTTTCAAGGCTCCTCCTCGCTTGGGGCAGAGCAGGCACTTTGGCTGGACACCCAGGGCACATGTCCGGCACAGCCAGCTGCCCGTGGGCACCTTGAGGATCCCGTAGCATGCCTGGGGAGAGAGCAGGGTGGTCACCATCTACATCTGGTGGGGAGTCAGCTGCAAACAGCCCCCGGCCAGCCCATGTGAGGAGCTACAGAACCCCACTGCTAGCAGGCTCTGGCAAGGAGGCCTCTGGACGGATTCTAAGGCCAAGACTCCAGTCCTCCGCAGAAGGGCTCAGCTCTGCCCTCTGTTGGGAGGAAAGTCATCTTGGTCAGAGGTTCCTAGTAAGTGTTGGACTTCAGAAGTGTCCATGAGCTCCTAGAAGTTGGACACAAATTTGGGTTTGTATGCTGCCTGAGGACAAGGCCCTGAGCATTCTTCTCTGTTCAGAGATTTGTGAAGGGGGCTCCTTCACAGTCATGCCTAGGGCTTACGAACCTATGAGCTACTACGTATAAGGGACATGAATGAATGAGGGGTCCAATGCCTCTGAGCTCCCCAGGAGCTCTTCCAGCAGCGATGGCTAAGGAGTAGTGTGTGTTCAAGTCAGGGCTAGCATGGGTCCACTAGGTTCCAGTCAAGTCTTCTGCAAGTAAGGCCCAGAGATGCCTAAAACCTGGGAGGTTTGGGTTCAAGATGAAGAGGGAGAGCATGTCTGGCAACACACCTGGTTTGTAAGATCAGCAGTAGTAAATACTTGTAGCTTGTACTATACTGTTCTAAGCAAAGAACTCCTAGGAATAACTGAATCCTCCCAACGACTTATTTTTATTTAGAGTTCAGGAAGCAGAGGCCCAGAGAGATTAAGATATTACCCAAGGTCACAGAGATTGTAAAGGGCAAGGCCACAATTTGCAATCAGGCAGCCTAGCTCGAGGCTTTGCTTTCTATCACGGCATTGTGAAGCCTCTTCCTCAGTTCAGGCCAGAGGGGAGGAGGAGCAGGGGGTCAGGGAGTTCAGGGTGGAGAGTCGGAGCGAGGCCCCCAGGAAAAGGATGGAAAGACCACCCAGCGGGCATTTACTCAAGTCTGGGGACAGCGCTGAGCCCTGGGGCACTCACTCCATTCCCTTCTTCCTCCCTCGTCCTGCTTTCTGGGGGCCTGCAGCCGTGGGTCTCTGGCGTCCCTCCAGCAAGGACCAGGATGATCAGCTGCTGGCAGCAGGTGAGGATGGGGGTGGGACAGAGGGGATGCCCACCTGGTGCACGCAGACGTTGCATTTGTCACAGAAGACCATCTCGTTGCCATCTTCGCCCTCGGGAGAGCGGCACACGTCACAGACAACGTCCTCATCATACTCGATGCCCAGCCCCTCCTGAGTCTCGATGGCCCGTACCATATTCTGGTGGCACAGGGTCTCCAGCTCCTCTAGCACACGCTCCAGCGTCAGCTCGTCCAGCTCTGGCCTCTCTGTGAGGACAGCAGGGGACGGTGTTAAGAGCCTGGGTTGTCAGGACAGGTGTATGGAGGGGGCTCCACTTGTCCGCTGTATGACCTGGGAAAACGCATCCACTGTCATGGGCCTCAGCGCCATCATCTGGAAACGGGATGGGCTGGACCATTCAATATCACACACCCCTGGGGGCTGGTCCTGCTCTTCTGACTTTAGACAGCCTGCTTGTGACCACACATGTGTGTACATGTGGACAACATGGAAGGATCTCTGGGATGCAGCTGCATGCATGGGCAATCCACTGCCTGAGCTGCATATATGGGGGGGGGGGAACCATCCTAGGACATGTTGGTGGGCTCCAGTCAGGAGGCCCCTACTAACTGACCCCACACCCCATCTATCATCCTAGCCTCACTTATGTGCTCACTTAATCTCTGCGTAACAGGCTTACCGATAATATCCTCAAGAACTCTGCAAATGACAGGCCATTATTGTTCCCACCTGACAGTTACAGCACATGAAGCACAGAGACCCCAAACAAGTTCTCTGATCAGTAATGTGGTAGGGACTTTCTCTCATATCCATGCAGTGCCAAAGCCTTGTAGTGGGCACTGCCCTTCTGAGGGTGAGAATGCTGCCATTTGGAAGAAAACTCTGCCTGGCCTGCCCCAATCCCGCTCTCAGCCTGGCAGGTCACCTACCCATCTCCTTGAGCTCCGAGTTGATGAGCTCCAGCCAGTAGGCATCAATCTCGTCCAGGTCATAGCGGCTGCCCCCAGGCCAATCAGGCTGGGAGCCCTCGCCAAGTTCAGAGCAGCTAGGGGACACCTGGGTAGGGGGGCCTTCCAGCGGCGGGAGGATCCTAGGAAATCAAGAGAGGGTAACGTGAGGGGAGGGACCCTCAGCCTGCCACCCTCACTGGGTCTGGGGACCTCCAGTGAGTTGGCCAGCCCAGCTGAGGAGCTGGTGGGCAAGTGAAATGTGAGACTTTGAGGTCACCTCCTAATACTACCTTGTCCTGCCTGCCCACCTGCAGAGACTCCAAGGACTATGGGTAAGCAGGAGAGGAGACCAAAGGACAGAATGTGGATTGGGAGTGGGTGCTGTCCCACTGTCCTGCACATCCCGTAAACATCCATCCTGCCCATAGCACACCTCTCCTGGTCCTCTCATGAGGGCATCTGGGCTCAGCTAGATCTGCCCTGCCTGGGGCTATCCAACAGGCAGTCCATACGCTCTCCTGGGCAATGCTCTGTGCCAGGCACTTTGGGAGAAGTGGGGTAGAGTCAGTAAGGCTTCAGGTCCTTTAGCATATACCCCTCAAGGCTGGATGGGAGGCCAGGGATTTTTCCCACATCTCCACAAGGGGACGTGAGGCTAGGCCTCCTCTAGAGTGAGAAGGTGCCTTACCTGGGGGGTACAGTATTGCAGTGCAGGATGGCCCTCTCCACAGAAAAGGTCTCCCTCCCCAGATACGACATAACCTGAGCCGTCAGTCTCTCACAGTGGTGCCCCCACCCTCAGTGCAAGATGGAGGCCTCCTCTCCTGGACAGAAAGATATGCCTATTACATTCCCAGGACCACACTCCAGCGCGGCCCTCCCGTGGGCCACGTCTCTCCCTGAGGCAGCTGGGAAGGGTCCTAGCTGCAGAATGTGGACTCAAAGTCCTGATCCGCTATTTTCTTTTAAGTAAACCCTAGCCCCAATGTAGGGCTCGACCTTGCGACCCCAAGATAAGAGTCACATGCTCTACCGACTAAGCCTGCCAGGCACCCTCTGACCTACCACTCAGTGTGCGATCTGGGCAAGCTGCTTAACTTCTCTAGGCCCAGTGACCTCATCCAAAAAAGTAACCTAGCAGTAACAGTACTTACCTTCTATGGCTGGCAGGGGTAAAATGGACGGATATGTGTAAAGCTCTGAGAACAGTGCCTGGCACACAGCAAGCCCTACAGGTGCTTGAGTGCGTATTTTAAGTCCTCTGGATATCACTTTCCTCCTTCTGAAATGGAATAGGAGGGCTTTTTGCCTTGGGAGGGCCCAGTTTCCCCTCTTGGCTCAGCTGTGTGCTGCCCCTGAGTTCCCGATGCCAGTTCAAAATGCCAGCTCTTCCCACCCCCCACCGGTTGCCATGGTTATCGCTGCGGAGCCTGGTTTCCATCTGGCCAGCCCTGCCAGGGCTGAGAGGCCCCTCACTTGCCCGAGAGGCCTCCTGGGGTTGAAGGCAGGGCTGCCAGGGGCTGGGACTCAGTGCAGACTGGGGAGGGGAAGGCACAGTGGCACAGAGACGTGGCTGAGCTGTGGGGAGGACTCCTGGGCTCCAGTGGTTGGCACGTGTCAGCCAGAGGGGCAAGAAGGATGGAGGAGAAAGGGAAGCAAAAACGGCTTGCAGACCAGGAGGGGAGGGTCGGAGGAGGTTGAAGGGCGCAAGGAGCAAGGGAAAGTGCTTGGCTCCACCTTGTCCCACGTAGGAGGCCAAGATGAAGGAAGCCTCAGGTAACCACTAATGGTTTGACTTCCCCCATCCTCCTGAAAAACAGATCATTCCAAATGGATGCAGTACTGATACTCTCAGTCCTACAAAGTCCCCTGAGGGTCTTATTGCAATTAATATATTCTTTTAAAAACATAGATTACTTTTGTCTTGACTCCGCTTTGTTTGTGCCCCCAGAGCAGGCTCAGCCAGGTTTTGGATCTAAGCTTTGCCTCATGACCTATTGGCCTCACGCTACACCTGTGTGGTCACTCCGCTGCCACCTGGCCAGACACCTTGGAGCCAAGATCACGTTCCTTTCTTTCTCGAAGAATCTAGGGTTCAGGGGCTCCTGTCAGAGAAGGCATTTTCTGTGCTTCCTGGGGCCCTAAGCTTCCTCCGTGACGCCTCTCTGGCTCTGGCAGAAGGTCTCTTCCCAGGCGTGGGCTTATCTGACCCCAGGCTAAGGACACCGTCTCAGCTGTAGCCGGCAGGGCAGAGGTCAGCTGCAGGAAGTGGACGGCGGGGCTGGGACCTGGGGGAGGGTGTCTACTCCAAAAAGATGACACCTGTACCAGAGGCTGGCTTTGCCCTGGGTTGAGTCTTCTGGCCACAGAGAGGGAGCAGCAGAGGCCATCACTCAGTTCGGCATCAGGGGGTGAGACGGGTTCTCATTACCCAGAGAAATTCCAGACCATGAGGTAGGCAGACCTGCCCCAGGGCCAGGAAAGACTGGATGAAAAGGGGGAGCTGGAACGCGCTGGGGTAGCAGCGGGGGAAAGGCAGCCAGAGCCAGTATGCCAGTATGACTGGGGCACAGGCTCTCTCTGGGCCTCACAGGGGCAACCCGGGGCTTGTAATTTCCTGGCCCAGCCCCCGAGGCCCTGGCGGTCACGCAGGGAATTCCCCAGAATTTCCCAGCTTCCTCATCTATCAAACCAGGGCAGTAAGATGTACTTTTAGGGCTGGTATGATAATTAACTGAGAAGACGAACGTAATAGGCTCAGCCCAGCAGATTCTCAAGAAGAGCGGCTGTAACAATTATGCCTGTGCTGGCAGCTGCAGTGGCTTCCAGATAAGGGCCTTTCAGTGGGAGGTCCCCAGGAAGACGGAGGGACTGGGCTGGAGGGAGACAGGGGAGCCTTCTCCTTGAGAACAGCCTGCCCTGCCTCCAGTCTGTCCTCTTCAGAGAGCACGGACAGGCCAGGGATGCCTGGCTCCTGTCAGCTTAGAGGCGCCGTGCATACCCAGGGAATGCACCTCCTTGAGCCAGAGCTGCCCGAACACGTGCTCTGTTCTTGTTGTCAACAGATAAGGCACTGAGCTGGCAGGCAGAAGCCATGCTACTGGTGTGGAAGCATTTGCAATTAATTACCCAGGCCACTGGATGTTTCTGGAACCACCTGACACTGACGTCAAGGAAGGAGGACAGACAGCTAGGCCAAGCCTCATCAGGAGGCACCTCTCTCCCCAGCTGCTGGCCTGCCCCGCCCCTTTGCTGCCTGGGTCCCTGCCATGTGTATTCTCCTGTAGTCCCCATCACACCCTTAGGCAGCTACTATTATTAGTCCCATTTTACAGAGGAGGAAACTGGTTCAAATAGGTTAATAACAGTTCCTTAGTCTGGTGAAATGAAGGTGTGAAACTGGCTAGGAGCTTAAACCCTGTTTCTGGCCCTAGGTAGGGGATGTGGAGAATCCACTCCCTCTACAAACTCCACATGTTCTCCCTTCTAGAGAAGCCTAGAGCTCCCCTGATTCTCAAAGAGCCTGACACCAAGCGCTGGCAGGCACTCAGACCTCAGAAGCCATAGCATGAGCTCTGCCCAGCACCCAGTCCTCACAGTGCACCTAGGCAGGGTACAGAGTCTGATTTGTCCCTGTAATCCTGTGCCTAGCACAGACCTGGCACCAGCTGGGCACTAAGGGTCTGTGAGCCACTCTAGGTGTGGCTGCCAGCAAGCAATGGTGCTAATGTCAAGGGCGATGAAGGCTGATCTCTTTGCCTCAGACCTGGTCAAATGGGCCTAAGCGAGAGCCACCGGGCTGCTAGTGTGCTGGTGAGCCGGGGAGTCAGGGCATCAGGTCCCTTGGCCCAGAGACAAGATTTAGGGGGTTTTCCAGGGTGCAGAAAGCAGCACTTGTCTGTCTTTTGTCACTGGAGGAAGGGCCATGGCCAAGACACACCAGGGATCTCTCCGATCCACAAGACCAGAATCTACAAAGCCTAGAGAGGATACCCACTGACCCAGCCCTGACCCAGCACTGTTGGGGAATCCTCCTGAGGATGGTCATAGCCAGAGCTTCCTAAGCATCTGCTGTGTGCCAGCATTCAACTCCCTCGCACTCGCAACTCCTTAAAAAGGTTTAAGAAGTCAATAGCACAGCTTAGCCCTGAGAGACTATTTAGACGCCTGGAAACTTCCCTGATGAGATCCATTCATGGGACTCAACTTGGATTGACATCAAGCTAATCCATGGCCAATTTCTACCCAGCACTGGTATGTGCCAGGCCCTGGGCCAAGTGTCTCCCATGCGTCGCTGTCCTGTCATCCCGACCACCATACAAAGTAAGTGGTATTGTTACTGCTCCCATTTCACAGACAAGGAAACCGAGGCCCAGGGAGATTACATTTCTGGCCCAAGGTCACAGTGAATGGAAATGGCAATTTGAACCCAAGCCATCTGGCTCCAGAGCTGAGCCCAAGCCCAGGCCCTTGCCTCAAAGGTAGACTACCAGTATTTCTGGAATTTTTCAGTGGCTGAGGGGACCAAAGCATCTAAGACAGACTAGAGACAGGCCACAAAGGTCCCTTGCCCCAGCCTCCTCTGTCTAGGGCCCCCTGGCCTGGGCTGTCTGGCTTACCTCACTACAGGCTCTGGAATGGCCTCTGCCCCAGCGGGCACCTGCACACCCTTCTCCCATTCCTGTCGCCATGGGTCCGCTAGGATGTAGTAGTCATCCGGGCTGAGCTGGCAGGAGTCTGGGATCTTCATAGCTGTGATCAAGTCTGTCCGGAAGACCTGTCAGGAGGAGGGGAGGAAAGAGTGCCTCAGGGGGGTCTGCTCCACAGCGAGGGCAGGAAGAGGCAAAGGCAACTTAGGTGGGCTTTCTGCCCGCTTACTTCAGAGTAAGAAGCCAACACGAAGGCAATCATGACAATGACACATCTTCTCTGAACTCAGCCCAGGGCTCTGCACACAGGAGATGTTTGGTAAATGTCGAACTGAATTTACCTGTGTTCTGATGTGCTAAAGGACAGAGTTCGAATGACGGCTGGCAGTGGACTTCAGAGGGAAGGGGAAACACTTAAGGGCAAAACCAGACAGTAGAAAGGCTTCTGTGAAGGCATTACTGCCATTAAGGGATTGCCTGCTGGGGGCCTTTCTATAGAAGGTTTAGAATTATGTTCCTATTGCCAACAAAGGCTCGAGGGGAGGTACGAAGGAGTGCAGGGCACCAACGCCAGGCAAGGGAAAGGCCAGGACCTTATGTCGACAGCTGAGGGAGAGGCCAGCCCCCAGCAGAGCTTACAGATGGGTCAGGGTCTCCAGTGTCCCTTAGGAACAAGGACAGCATGTTCCCTGCTCAGCCGGGGCAACACAGGGCCATGCTCTATGTGTGAGAGTCAGAGGTGGATAGGGCTGCATTTTTTCTCAGTCAAGCCCGTCCAGATCTTCTCAGAGCCAGGCCATGAATGTCTGCACCCTCCTGCTCGGTGTTCTTCCGGGCAACGGCTCATTCAAGAGGAAGTTGCTCTTCCCAGCGTTGTCTGTCCCCAACCATCCCCTCCACCTTCCTACCCCAGAACAATCTGCAAGCCCAGCCCAACTGCCACCAGTGTCCCTCTCTCCCCACTGCCTGACCTCACTGTGGCCTCCACAAAGGGCTGCCTCAGGTCTCAGTGACGACTCCAGATCACCCAACGAGAAGGACGAGTTAAGAAACCACTTCCAGGGCGCCTGGGTGGCTCAGTGGGTTAAAGCCGCTGCCTTCAGCTCAGGTCATGATCCCAGGGTCCTGGGATCGAGCCCCACATCGGGCTCTCTGCTCAGCAGGGAGCCTGCTTTCCTTCCTCTCTCTCTGCCTGCCTCTCTGCCTACTTGTGATCTCTGTCAAATAAATAAATAAAATCTTTAAAGAAAAAGAAAAAGAAACCACTTCCAAGAGCACTGCAGGCCTCAGACCAAACTTCAACAAATCTCCCCGTCCCCAGAAAAACCAGCTTCACTGGCCTTCCAGAGGCTCATGAACAAGCCGTTCCATGCTAACCTCTGCCCGCCAGGGGCCCAACTCACTGGTTGTGGGTGTCTGCCTCCTTTGAATCAAGGGCCACGACACGAGAAAACAACCGAAATGGGCGCACCAAGGGGACTCAAGGCAGCATCTTGCAGAAATCTAATTAACATTTGCATCTGGCTAGAGAGGGCCCTGGCTTGGAAAAGGTCAAGTTTCCTGAAGACTCTATTTGCCAATATAATTTAATTGTTAAGACTAAGACTCTAACATTTAATTAGGGTGCCAGTGTGAAAAAATTAAAATGAGATTACGATTAAATACTAATTAAGCAGAAGATGAAATGCGGCGAAGATCTCACAGCCCTGATAATTTGCATATCTTATTAGCAAGCAGTGAAGACGGCTGATACAAGAACACAAACTCAGGCAGTGGGTGCTTCCGTGCTGTTCTTCGCAAGTCCCCGTCTCCTGGCTTGGGCCTTCCCTAGCTGACACCTCTGCCGAGTCTGGCAGGACTGGGGCTGGGTTATTTCCTTCTGGAGCCAGGATGGGGCCTGGTGGAGTGAACTGAACCCACAGGGGACACATCACAGCCTTCAAGTTCTCCGATCCTGGTAAACCAAGTGGGGTCCAGGCCAAAACCTTGTTGCTCCGATGCCACAGGGAGCCTCCCACCTGGGACAGCTCATCTAGGCCCAGAAATCAACCCTTCACTACTGTCACTAAGCGGTCCTCCAGAGACTCATGGGTAAGTCTAAAAGCTATTGTTCTTCCCTCATCCTGGCTGTCATATAAGCACCATCTCCTTTAGGATTCCTTTCCCGATCACCCTGACTCAGGGAGTGCCCAGTGTCCCACAGAGCCACTTTCACTCTGTCAACCTACCTTGCTTCCCAGCACTTACACCCCAACAATTAACTGGTATTCTCCTGTTGTTATTTATTTACTTATTTTTTGCCACCTCCCCCCACTTCCCTTACAGCAATCCTGCTGTCTGCTACGTCCTCAGTGCTTGGCATGATGATTGCCACATAGTAGGTGCTCAGAAAATAGTAGCTGAGTAAGGGAATGAATGAATGAAAGGGCCTCTCTGGTAAATTACCCGAGGGGGTCTGAGGCCCTCAGCTGGCTCCTCCACGGTGCTTTCTGAAACCCCATCAACAAGGTAAGGTACCTCAAGGATATATGTAGAGCTGAAGTCCCCAAGCAAGGGGACCTAACTAGAGCAATTCTCAGCCTCTGGTCTGCAGGGCTCGAAGCCCAAGGACCAGTGCCCTACCCAAGCTGGAGTCTTAAAGACCAGAATGCCAAGCCTCACAAGCAGGGGACAGGTGGCCCTGAGCTAGGAACAGGCATGATGTTGAGAACTCAGCAGGAGAGAAGGGATCCCAGGCTCAACTGGATCAGAGAGATTCAGGAAGGAGAGGGAAGGAGAGAGGGGGAGAGGCAGGGAGGGAGGGAAGAAAAGAGAGGAGGTGAGGAAGACAGGGGGAGAGGAAGACAGAGGGAAAGAGGAAAGAGAGGGAGAGAAAAAGAGAGAGAGAGAGAGTCTAGCCCCAAGAGAGGTGCATGTTTCATCCTGGTCACTCAGGGATCAGGTGGCAGACTGGACACAGGTGGCCCTTTTGGGCAGGGAACTGATGGAAGTGCAGGAAGGGGAGCATCGTCATAATGGCAGCAGCCAACAGGTAAAGAGCACTGTGGGATATGGTAGCAGTGTAAGGGATATTCTGGAATTAATTTAATAGCAGTCCCTACACCACCTCTGTGAGGCCAATGCTGCCATCCATCATGCCTATTCTGGGACTCTAACCTGAGATTAGTTAAATAACCTATACCACATCCTACATGGTAGAAGTGGCAAAGGATCCCCGGCCACAAACTCTGGAACCAGCCAGCATTCCCCCACAAGCCCCCTGGCCCCCTTTGGCCACGTGCTCAATGCTCAATGCCCGTAGGAAGACAAATCAGCTTCCCCAAAGGCTGAAAAATGCAAATCAGATGGTAGCTTTTGCAAATTCCACACCCTGCCCTTGGGTGGCTTTCCACTGCCTTCCCTCAGGCTTAGCTGCAGGGCCCACCAGCCCCTGTGGCCACACAGATACACATAGTCTGTGGAGCACGTTTTCCCCTTGGCACAGAGGAGCAACGTGCTGGGATGCTCTTCTCTCTTGCCAAAGTGGTGCCAGCCTATTTTATCTTGGAGGGCTGGGTCCCACCCACATCTGCTCTGGGAAACCTTCCCTGATCCCAGGTTGGGTTCTGGGCTTCCTCTGACCTCCCACAGCCCCTGTATTGGAATCGCCTGGTTTCTTACCATGTAGCCCCCACAAGAAGTTGGTGAGCTCACTGAGGTCTGGCCGGGCCACAGGAGCCCAGCAGTGTACACAGGGGCCTAGCCCCTGGGAGGTGCTAAACAAAGGCTGAATGGCTCAAGAGCTTTCCACGGACCGGAAGCCACCTTCTTGGGTTGCTGCCCGAGATTACCTACAGCTGGGCAGTTGGGTCCCCTGCACCTTCCAAAGGAGCCTCTGTACATTTATACACAACCTGTCCACAAATACAGCAACCCAACTGCCACCCAAACATCCTTTTTGTTCCAAATGGCCAGAGGTTAAGCTTGAAAAAGGCTCAATTATTCTCCCCAAATGCCTCTGAATTATTTATGAAAACTAAATAAAGAATAAAACAGACACTGATGAACCAGAGGCCTTGCCAGGGCCAGAAAGTTGGAAGGTGGAAAACAAGTAATTTTTTCAAGAACGTGAATGTTTACTATTTTTTCTCTCTTATGGCAGAAAATGACAAATTGTCTTTAAAGGTCTGCTGCCTAGCAACCACGTTCTGCTGGGCTGCTTGGGAGATGTTAATTGTAGCTTCTTCAAACAGTATGAAGAACGTCTAAAGGTCTAAAACTCAAAGGTAATAACCAATCTGAGTGCTGGGGAGCCAGAGCAGCTCCGGAGGGAGTGCTCGACCCTGCTCTGCCCAGACCCAGGGATACACGCATGGCCCTGACCTCTAGTTCCTCTTCCTGAGACTGAAGACGAGAACCACGAACAGTCTGGTTTTCCACACCTATTTCCCCAGGAAGAACCCAGAACAGGCTCTGCCAGAAACTAAAAGTGGAGGCTGACATGACCTCTAAAAGCAAAGACAACCACCACAGGCAACTTTCCCTGGGCCGCGCAGAGTTCCTGTACATGATCACGAGATTAGTGGATGTCATTTGAATATCTCATCCTGGGACCTTGGTCTCTGCTTCCTTTTCTCAAGGGTCAATTACTGTATCAGGGTGTATTTCAGATCGAGAGACACCAAGAGGAAGTTCAGTTACATAAGGAATGGCTCCGCCCCTTATCATTAATTACAAAGTAGGATTATTTGTGTAATTATTTGTTGGATGTCCATCTCCTCCAGTAATTCAGCTGAGAGAAGCAGAGGCTGTGTGTGTCCTGATTATCACTGGACCTGTCTGTGGCACCATTCCCGCCATGCAGCAGGTGTTCAAGAAATGCTGAGCAGCGAATGAATGAATGAACCCCAGGATTTGTCTAAAGTGGGACTAAACTCTGAAACTTCCTCTCCTGCCTGGCTGGTATGCAGGGGACTGGCCCCAAAGATTATTCCAGGTGACTTTAGGAACTGGTCTTGGTCACTGTCCCAAAGTCAATGAAAATAGCTTTGGCCAAGATGGCCTCTCCTTGACCATTGTCCACACTAGGAGTCCCAACATAAAGCCAGGAGTGGCACCTTCCCCCAAATCCTCCAAAGGATGTTTGGGG